TGGCTCACTCGGGAGAGTGTGGTGCTGATAACACCAAGGCCATGGGTTCGGATCCCATATAGGGATGGCCGGTTTGCTCATTGGCTGAGCGTGGTGCTGACAACACCAAGTCAAGGGTTAAGATCCCCTTACCGGTCATCTTTAAAAAAAAAAAAAAAACTATTAAAGACATTCAGAACGGTATGAAAATTTCATTTATATAGACGTGAAAGACTGGCAAAATTAATCTATGCTGTTAAAACTCAAGGTAGTGGATACTCTGACTAGGAGTGGGTAACAGAGGGATTCTGGGAGGCTGGTCATGTTTCTGTTTCTGGATCTAAATGCTGACTATGTGGGTGTTCTATCTGTGAAAGTCATTCAGCTGTACCTTTAGAATTAAACCCTTTTCTGTATGAATGTTGTCAAAGACTGCTGCAGAAATGAACCCTAATTTGTTCAGCCTCCCTGCATCCCCACCTTTGGGTAGGTTCTGCCCATTCTGACTGACTCTTGGCTTAGCCAAGTAACTTGCTTTGGAAAATGGGACAAGAGCAAATGTAACACAATCAGAGGCTGAAGAAGTACTTTGCATATTGGGCTTTGCCCTCTGTATTAGTCCTTTTTTTGTGGCGTATAACAAAATACACAGAACTGGGTAATTATAAAGAAAAATGAAATTTATTGCTTACAATTTCTAAGGCTGGGAAGTCCAAAGTCCATCTGGTGGTGGTGACAGTGACCCAGGGATCTCACATTGCTAGATGGTGGAAGCAGAGAGAGCAGAGAGAGAAACAGACTCTCCTCTTCTTTTAAAGCCCTCAGAACCACACCCCTGACCACCATTTTTAATCCATTCACTACTGCACAGTCCTACACTTTAATCACCTCTTCAAGGCTCCACCTTTCAATTACCATAATAGGATTTCCCACCCTCTTAACAGTCACAGTGGGGGCTAAGTTTCTAACACATCAAACATGGGGGATACAATCCAAGCTTCAATGAGTTTTGGGGGGATGTAATTCAATCCACTACACCCTCATGCTGTTCTTGGGAGCCCTATAACCACTGCTGTGTGAAGAAGCCCAGGCTAGCCAGCTGGATAATAGCAGACATGTGGCCAAGTTACCCTGTTGGCCCAGATGACATCAAGCCAACCATCAGATACATGAATGAGGCCATCAACCCAGCCTCAACCTAGCTGCCAGATGACCACGAAGATCAGCTGAGCTGGTCAGGACAGAACTGACTAGCTAATCCTAAAATCGTGAAAAATAAATGTCCGTGTTTTTTTTTTTTTTTTTTTCCTTTTTGTCTTTTTTCCTGACCGGCAACGGATCGCAACNGCTTTTCATTGGTGATGTTGCTATTTATTTATTTATTTATTTTTAGTGCTTTTTCACATTTTTGTGCTTTTCATTGGTGATGTTGCTATTTATTTATTTATTTATTTTTAGTGCTTTTTCACATTTTTGTGCTTTTCATTGGTGATGTTGCTATTTATTTATTTATTTTTTTTTTAGGATCCGAACCCGTGGCCTTGGTGTTATCAGCACCGCACTCTCCCGAGTGAGCCATGGGCCGGCCTGTGATGTTGCTATTTAAAATGGCCGCCAAGCATAGTGTTGGAGTGCTGTCTAGTGTTCTAAGCTCAAGAAGGCTGTGATATGCCTTACAGAAAATATGTGCGTTAGAAAAGCTTTGCTCAGGAATGAGTTGTAGTGTTGTTGGCTGTGAATTCAATGATAATGAATCAACAACATACATTAAATGTGTCTTTAAAAGAAACACATATAAAATAACATTACATATTCATCAGTTAACGAAAATGTGAATGGAGGCTTACAGGAATCTAACCCTACATTTCCCCTTGAAGCAACTGTTCAGTATCCACTAATAGAACATAACTACCACAAATGAGAATCAACTGTGGGTATAGCCACTCACTACCCAGTTTATTTTTTTCCCTAAGAGAAGAGGACCTTGGACGGCTTTGCTTCCACCTTTGCTAACTACAGAAGGGATGAGACTACCAGGTATGTCTGCTTTACTGATGGAGTGTAAGAATGAAGGAAAGGAGGCCTGAACAGACAGGGCTCACCACTAGATGTGCCACGGCGAATCTCCCCTGGGAGGGGGCTGGGGCTGCAGGGCACCGACTCAGTGGCAGCTTTGCACATGTCCTGTAAAAAATAGGCATATGTCCTGTAAAAATAGGTTACCACCGCAGAATTGGAGAGATCTGAGCAACACCAGGAGGATCAGAACCCGACTGCTAGAGATTTTAAAATGTTTAGCTCCTAACCATGAGAAAGCATCATACATACCCAGACTGAGGAATTTGCAAAATAATACCTGACCAATAGTGTTCAGAACTGTCAAGATCATCAAAAAACAAGGAAAGACTATGAAACTGTCACATATCAAAAGAGACTAAGGAGACATGATAAGTAAATGCAATGTGGTATCTTGGAACAGGTTACTGACGGAAAAATTGATGAATCCAAATAGTCTATAGTTAACAGTAATATATTAATGTTAATTTCTTAGTTTTAACAAATGTACTACAGCTATGTAAGATGTTAACATTAAAGGAAGCTTGGTGAAGGAAATACTGAAATTTCATACTGTTGTTGGAACTTTTCTATAAACCTAAAATTATTCCCAAATTTAAAAATTTATTTATTTATTTTTTTGGCAGCTGGCTGGTATGGGGAACTGAACCTTTGACCTCGGTGTTACAAGACCACACTCTAACCGACTGAGCTAACCAGATAGCCCCTGAATTTATAAGTTTAAAGAAAAAACAGTGTTTTGTTCAGGGACCTTCTCAATGACAACTGAGATAATGTCCCTAGCTTGAGAAAGCCCTCACTGTGGGGTCCCATCCTTGGGATGGAGGAAGTTACTAAAAATGACAAGAATAATCATAGCAACCACCTTTTGGTAAAGTGGAGTGCTGGAGAGCACAGCTCTGGAGCAAGTTTCCTTCTTGGTCAAGCAGAGTGAGGAATCAATGAGTTAATATGTATACAGGATAGAGACAGTGCCTGACAGCAAGTGCTTGGTAAGTGTTAGTTATTATAACTTAATAATTACTTCACTCTAAGTCTGGTACTCAGTGCCATGTACGCAATCTGGTAGATGACCACAGCCACCCTATGCAGCAGGGGTAGTAAAAAGCTTGTTTCAGAGAGACCCAGGAAACCGGGTTACTGTAAGTAGAAGTGCTAAGACTGAAATGGCCAGGTTGTTGGCTAAGTCACCATTGGGTCCACATAGGAAGCTCCTGTCCTGGGGACACAAAGGGCCCTGGAGATGATAATTATCATGGGGAAGATAAAAATTAGCAATAATTATTACAGAGAATCCTTACTAAGGCCCTTCTATAGGCAGTTTACACTGTAGTAGTGCTATATAGGTTAATACTCACAACCACCCTTCAAGATAGATTTGCCTCTCTGCTTTTTACAAGTGGAGAAAGTAAGGCTTAGAGAGGTTAGGTAACATGCCCAATGTCACACAGCAAATGGCTGAACCAGCCCTGGAACCCAAGTCGGCCTGCCTTTGTTGCCAGGCCTCCTGTTTGCTCTGTAACTGCCCCTCCATCCCCACGCTAAACCCAGGGACAGAGTGGCTAGGCAGAACACTCACCTGGCGGTGTACCACCTTCGCGTGCTTGAGGATGGCGATGATGTCCCCCACCACAGTCACGCCCAGCTCATTCATGATTTCCTTGTTGAGATCCAGCAGCATGCTCTTCCGTATCCTGCAGAGAGGGTCAGTGGTGAGGCCCAGAGTGGACGCGCCAGCCAGTTCCCCACCTCCCCTATTCAGCCCTGTCCCTTCAGCCACCTCACCTATTATCCACAAACATCACAGCATAATTGACAGCAGGCCCTGGAGGAATGCCGGCTTCCTTAAAGAACTGGATCCACTCGGAAGTGGCTGAGGGATTGGACAGGGCTCATTATTCACGGTATTCTCTTTCGAGAATAGCAGCAGCAAAACCACAACAGCAGTGGCTCCCACAAATAAAATGCTCATCATCACATGCCAGGCCCTGTACACACGTACACATGTGTACACACACACACACACACACACACAATGGAACTCAGCTCTCCCAACAACCCTGGAACTTAGCTCTCCCAACAATCCTGTAAGTTAAGAAGTATTAAGACTTCCTCATATGCAAATGAGGAAACTGAGGCAGGGAAAGGCTGGCCAACTTGCCCTAGGCCACAATGCTAACAAGAGGCAGAGCTCCCAAACACTTAACCACCACCCTTCTCCTTAGAGCTCTGCCCTGCCCTGGAGCCACAACTTGAAGCACCACAACAGATACCCGGCCAATGACTGATTTGCACAAACTGGGAGTCTGGGTTCTCTACCCCATCCCCATCAGCCAGCCCAGGCCCAGAGGATGATAGGATCTGCAGTAGATGGAAAGAAGGATCACAGAGCCAGCCCTTGAGCCTCAGCAAACCCTCTCCGCACCACAGGAGCAGCCCTGCCTTGGAGAGAAACACAGAAGTGACTAGCATAGGCTTTGGAGCTTAGGTTCAAACCCGGACTCTGCCATTTCTTTGCTGAGGGGCTCTGGGCAAGTTAACTCTAAGTGCCTCAGTTGCCTCATCGGTAAATTTGATATAGTAGACTTAACAAGTATTTACTGAGCACTTGGCACAGGTCAGGTCCTGCTCTAGGCACTGGGGATAACACAAGGTACAAGACCAAGCCCCGGTCCTCATGGAGCTGACATCTTAGAACACCATCATCCTTGTATTACTAAGTAGACTCAGTGAGAAAGTCCACATAAAGGGCTATTATTATTATTACTATTATTTATTATTACTACTTCTACCACCACTAAACATGGAGATAAGGCCAAGACCAGGCAGACTCCACCCATGAAACTTCATTGTCTCTAAAATTCTTGCTCGGCCTCTTAGGTACAACCTTCAAACTGCTAGATCAGATCACTGATTCCAAGTAGAACATTTTTTTTTCACATATTAACATCTCTGAAAGTAAGATCTACCTCATATTTAATGGTGTGCTGTGGTTTAACTGGCAACTATTTTTTTCTTATGATATGTAATGGTACATCTAAAAATTCCATGTTCTTTTAGATTAGAAGAGATTTGGCATTGCATCACCCATTCTGCTTTTAAGACAATTGAGGCTCGGGCCGGCCCGTGGCTCACTCGGGAGAGTGTGGTGCTGATAACACCAAGGCCCCGGGTTCGGATCCTACATAGGGATGGCCGGTTCGCTCACTTGGGAGAGCGTGGTGCTGATGACACCAAGTCAAGGGTTATGATCCCCTTACCGGTCATACTTTAAAAAAAAGAAAAAGACAATTGAGGCTCAGAGCAGAGAAGGAGACACCTCTGGATCAGATGTGGGTGGCAATGCAGAACATGGAGGAGGTCCCTACCTAGCTGGCCACACCTCTCCCAAGGAGGCCCCTGACCAGACAGCCACAGGCCAGTCTCCCAGGGCACTGACTGACCCGAGCCCTTGGGCACTAGAACAGGTGAGGAGCTCAAACCCTTAGGACTTCTTCTACCAGCCCAGAGGAAATGGGTGACATTTTCCTACTTTGCTATCCACCCGCCAAGCCACAGTTTCCATTAGCCAAAAGTGGGCACCTTTGTCTAACTATCAAAAAGCACCACATAATGATTCCATTTTTATGAAATGTCCAGAACAGGCAAATCTAGAGAAACAAAATATAGAGTACTGGTTGCTAGGGGTTGGGGGAAGGGAGAATGACTGCTAATGGGCATGGGTTTTTGGGGGCTGAGTGATGAAAATATTTTGCAATTAATTGTGGTGATGGTTGCACAACTCTGTGAATAGAGAATATAAAAACCATTGAATTGTGCACTTTAAAAAGATAAAATGGTACAGGCCAGCTGCAAAATAAATAAATAAATAAATAAAATGTATGATATATGAATTGTATCTCAATTAAGCTGTTACGAAGGGGAGAAAAAGTACCACATAGGTTGGGGACAGATTTCTGCCTGAAACAAAGCCTGTGATTTGAACCCCGAGATTACTGACACCCAGTGTCCAGTGTCCAAGGAACTGCACAAGTCCCCACATCTGGCACACACCATCATTTCATGAATTACTAAGAAGGAAAATATGTGGCCAATTAAACTGTCATAAGCCACCATAAAAAAAAAAACGTACGAAAAAAAAAAAAAGAACGCATGACATGATTTCCTTCATATAAGTTCAGGTCCAAAGTCTTTAAAAGAGGAATGTTTCCATTGGTGATACATCTATAAAGAAAGGTAAGGAAAGACGTTCACAAAAAATAAGAGAGTAGTTTATTCCATCTAGCAGAGGGAGTGTGTGTGATTGGGTTAGGAATCTCAGGGAGACTGGCAATATTCTATTTCTTGATCTGGATGGTTAGAGGGGGGTTGGTTTTTTTCAATCTGTTTATTGAACTATAATGTACACACACAAAAAAATTCGTAAGTTGATAAGGATTTTTCTAAACCAAACATACCCATGTAACAGGCACCCAAATCAAGAAATAAAACATTTCCAACACTTCAGAGCCCCCGCATATTTCCTTTGCGGTCACTACTCCCCTCTCTCCAAGGGCAACCACTACCTTCTAACAGGATAGATTGGTTTTGCTTGCTTCTGTGCTTTAAATAAATGGAATCATAAAGGATATATTCAGGTGTTTGCTTTTTAATTGCTCTTACAAATCACACAAATGTGTTCTATGTACTTTTCTATATGTATGATAAATCTCAACATTTTTCAAAGCCACCAACTGATGTCTGTGCTTTGGCAACCCCAAAATAAAGAGTTTAAAGAGAATATGGTGATAAGGCTCATGATAATAACAACAGTTAACATTTGCTGAGAACTATGCCCATGATTTTACATGCAATAATCTACTTTACCCCAGGATGTAGGGAGTACTATCTCTATCTCACAGGTGAGAAAACCAAGGCTCTGAGAGGTCATGTGGGAGATCTGCCCGACTTCATAACCCAAGCTCTTCATGGCTAAACTACACAGTCAGGAGGCTGAGATACAGCAAGGAAGCCAGTAGGCCTTGAGCGGGCCTTGGCCCCGCCCCCAACATTTCTCAGAGAACAGCTGTTTCTGCCAGTGAACCAGCCCTCCCTCCTCCACTCCCTCTCCACCCACCAAGGCCATACCTCAAAACGGGGAGGGGGGAGAAGGGGCCCTTGAGAGAAGGCCACAGACTCACCCATAGTCACTGAGACCATTGTTTTCCTGGCCCTGATGCCGCTCCCTGGAGCCTGGAAGAGAGAACGAGGGGAGAGTGCCCATGAGTCGTCTGCTGTGAGTGTATGTCCCTCTCCCGGTGCCTGTGTGTCTGCCTGCCAGAGGAGCATTCCTGGGCTGGGGGCTCACCACCCAAGAATAGCCTAGAGCAGCTGGCAGGAAGTCAGCCTGGGACAGAGCTGCCATCACAACTATCACTTCTGCCTGGGACAAGGCCCAGGCACAGCAAATGTCCACAGCTCCATTCCCACACATCCCAAAAGGTTAGCTGGAATAGGGGCGGGACAGAAAAAAGACATCCCCTGCCCAAGACTTTAACCATAAATACCCATTCATTCATCCATTCAAAAATGATTTACTGAGCCGGCCGGTTAACACAGTTGGTTAGTGCACAGCCTTATAACACCAATGTCATGGGTTTGGATCCCCATGCCAGCCAGCCACCAAAAAAAATTTTTTTACTGAGAACCTACTGTGTGTGAGGCACTTAGGGATATGGAGGTTAACAAAAACTGAGGTCATCATCTAGTTGGGGAAAAGTGAAGAAGGAGACAGAGAGTTAACATTATAATGTGTTAGAATGTCTTTAGTGTCATGAAGAAAACACGGAGGGATGGGAAGGGAGGGGATGCAGTTTTCAACAGGGTGATTAGGGAAGACAAAATGACATTTAGAGACCTGAAGGAGGCCATGTGGTTTTACAGAGGAAGAGCTTTCCAGGAGAAGGTACAGCAAGTCCAGTGCACTGAGCCAGGAGCTCATCTGGCATGTGCTAGGGACAGCAAGGACCCAGTGTGGCTGTAGTGGAGTGAGTGAGGAAAAGAGTGGCAGGAGACAGTTCAGAGAGGTGAGGCACCAGATCACAAGGGGCACTGAGAAATGAAATGGAAAACCAGTTCTCATTTAGATAAGATTAGCAGATGCTAGAAAGGTGTTAAAGACTTATTAGCACCAACGGAGACTTTCTCCAGGCATTAGTAGCAGTGTTGAAAGGGAACTAAAGGAAACAACTGTCTCATGTGATGAGTCAATGCTATCTGACTCTAGGACCACTTGGCCCACACTATTCTGGCCCAAATTTCCTTCTCACTTAGTTCTCTCCCTCCTCCTCTCCCCTGACCCAGCTCCTCCCCTCCATCTCCTCTGCCTTCTCCCTTCACTTTGCTCCCTTCTACCCACCCCAGCCCCCAATACTGATCTTCCTCCTTCACCCCTTCTCCGCCCCTTCCACAGGGTGCAGAAGGCCCTCTGTCCCAGCACCTTTCTGTTTACCATCCCATATAATCTGCTCTACCCTCCACACCATTTTGATGCTATAATGGAGTGGTTAAAAGTAATGACTCTGGAACCAGACTTCAGGGTTCAAATCTGGCTCTACTACTTACTTGCTGTATGGCCTTGGCAAGTTACTTCACCAGTCAGGCCTTGGTGTCTCCATCTGTGAATTGGGATGGTACAAACATTACGTACCTTAGAGGACTGCTGTGAGTGCTAGATGAGTTTCTATGTATAAAGGCACTTGGGACAGTGCTTGGTGCATACTAAGTGCTCCAGAAGTGTTGTGCCTGGTCTCATCCCTCAGGCCTCCCACCCCAACCCACCCTCTCCACCCAGATGCTTTGCCTGCCTCCCAGTTTTAACACAGGATGTCACCTGTGCCTGGAATTTCTATCTCCTCCTTTCCTCCCAGTAAGCTCTCCTTCCCTCTGCTTGGCTGCCACCTACTTTGTGAAACTTTGCCTAACTCCCCACGTGACATTCTCTTCTCTACCCCAGCTAGGATTTGTCTTGCTCTTCTCTGGCTCCTACTGAACCTCTTATTGATGAACATGACCACAGACATCACTCCACTCTGCAGTTGACACTCAGATCTACTTTCCCTTCTGGATTTCACTGCTGGACAGAGAAAACACAACAAGCATCTCTCAAAGAGCAGGGCATGGAGAGAGCTCAATAAGTCCAACAGAACAACATCTTACATACCAAGCACTAACTAGGCACTGGACTAGAACCAAACATCATGCTGATGCCTCACAACTGCCTCATGAGTGAGGACTATTATTAGCCCTATTTTAATCGATGAAAAAACTGACTCACTGAGGTGCAGTCATTTGCCAAATGCGACATCTAGCAACTGACCTTACTGATTCAAAAGCAAATTGTCCCTGATTCCGATGCCCATGTGGTTGCTCCTGTTGAGTGTTTACTATGTGCTAGAGACTGAGTATATACACACCTCACTGACTCCTCACAACCATCCTGGGAAAAAAGTAAAAATGAGTCCTATGTTACAGATGAGACTGGCAGGTCCAAGGTCACCCAGCAAGAAATGGCACAGCCAGGACTTGCACCCTACTCCATCCAATGGCGATGACTTGTTTGTCTGGTTTTTGGCAGCTAACTGGTACAAGGATCTGAACTCACAACTTTGCTGTTACCAGCACCACACTCTCCCAAGTGATCCAATGGCTATGATTAACACTGATGGAGGGATTACCATGAGCCAGGTACCGTCGTCTGTCTTTGCAATGTCCCGGTTAATGCTTACCAGAATCCTTTAAGTATTGGTATTCTTCCTCTACTGCTGCAGAATTCCCTGCTGGACTCAATTTCCTCTCTCCACCATCTTAAAAGCCCATCTCCAGTGCTCACTTTTTAAATAGTGGAAATTATAACAATAAGTCATTTTAAAAATGGCAGCTCCCAAAACTCAAGTAATTACCAGGTACTTAGCACTTACCAGGTGATAAGTCTTTACAAGACTTGGATCCAAATCCCAATTTTACCATTTCCTAACCCTGATTCTGAGCAAGTGGCTTAATCTTTCTGGACCTCATTCTCCTCAACTCTACAGTTAGAATCATAGGGGTTTCCATTCTTAAAAGTGTTAGAGAGATTAAATGAACAATGCCTGGCAGGTGAAAAGTGCTATGTGTAGGTGTGCATTAAATAAATAAACCTTCTGTGAGCTAGGTAAAGGGTAGGGCAATTACTGGCCTAATGTTAGTTGCATGCAAAGTGTGAACTGGGAACCAAGTATAAGACAACTTCACAGGGTCCACGGGATCTGACAACATGTAATCAAATAGTACAAGTTATTCCCTTTTTAATTCTCTTTCAGTTTCTGTGTACAATGTAATGGACTGTTCTGTTTCTATTGTGTTTCAGGTTAAGTTTTCCTTCTCATGGCCAGTAATGCCATTTTCCCACTAGGATAGCAATGCAAATTTCCCTTTTCAAGAAAAAGAAAAATCTAATACTACAGGCTTCAGCAAAACTGGCCAAATATTAAGCGGCAGGATGTCGATTTTCCCAGTTCCAGTTCTAAGTTTTTGCTATTGCTGTCTCTGAGCTTCCAACCTCCCTCTACTCCCTAGGAAGTCCTAGCTACACCAAAACTCCCAGAATCATTATCATCATAGTCCCAATCTCTTGAGCTTTTACTATGCCAGGCCCTGTGCTAAAAAGCTTTACCCGCACATTTCATCAGAATCCTCACAACGACCCTATGATATTGGGACTATTAGCCCTCATTGTATGGATGAGGAAAATGAAGTTCAGAGAGGTGAAGGCACAGGCTCGCTGCCGCAGCTGTGGAGTTGGGACTTGTCCGAAATCCGTTGGCCTCCAAGACCAACAATTTTTTACGCCAAGCGCAAACATCATCAATACTAACCATAACATTATAGCAACGAAGTGAGAGCACTATGTGCAGATGCTGAGCTAAGGGCTCCGACGTGCATGAGCTGACTTCTCACTCCAATCCGTGACGTGGGTGCTACAATCGGATTCTGACCCCCATTCTACAGAGGAGGAAACTGAGGCTCAGAGAAAGAAATCGCTTCTCCGGCGCCGCAGAGCCCGGACTGTGACTCCAGATCCCTGGACGCCACCCATCACCACCGCATCCAGCCCATTCCCACCACGCGCGGCCCGCGCCTCACCTGGCCCACCGGGCCCGCGCCCGCGCCCACTCGAGCCGCCCGCCCTCCCTCCCGGCGGCGCCAACTGTCAGACACTCCTCCCTTGGCCCCGGCTGCCCTCCCCGGAAGCACCGCCCTCACCGCCGGAAGCCGGACTGACTGATCCGGGTCCGCTCTAGCCCGCCGGACCGCCATCAGAGAGAACGCGCGGCAATCGTCACGTGACCACCCACAGTCTCGCAGGCGCTTCCCCCCGCCCGGAGCTAGCGAGGAGCGTGGCCAATGAGAAAGGCTCATGCCTGCTCCCCGCCGTCCCGCAGTCTGGCTGGAGTGCGCCTGCGCGCAGGTGGGAGGGGCCAGGCGGGGCTCCCGCCCAGCAGGTGGGTGTGGGGCTGCGTCCCGGAGTCGGAGACGTGGAGCGCAGGTACTGTGCAATTTTGGGGCGCGGTGCCTCGGCTGCCCTCCTAATGTTGTCCTTTCGTCTATAATGCATCCCTTCCCTTATGTTGTCCTCCATCCCTTTATGTTGCCATTCTTTTTCTTATGTCGCATCCCACAAGTTGTCACCACGTCCCTTCTGTCGCCATCACCCTATGTCGCCATCAACCTCCTTAACTAGCTTTTGTTCCGTTTAAACCTTCATTGCCACCATATGTCGCAGTTGCCCCCTTTAAGTCGTCATCGCCTTTTTTGTTGCCTGCACCCCTCTTTTGTTGCCATTTCTCTTTTATGAAACCCTGACTTTTCTGAAATAGTCATCATATCCCCGTGTCACCTTCGCACGCCTCCTGTCACCAACTCTCTCCTTAAATCGTGCTCACGCCCCCTTTTGTCATCATCACCCCTTGTTTCTCCTTTTCTCCCATGTCAGTATTGACATGGACCCCATGACAACCATGCCTCGTGCTTCCACTTTTCCACATAAGGGGCCACCCAGCCTTACAGTTTTTCTTCCCGCCGTGTCTCCGTCATTTCCCTGTATCAGGTCTCACATACTTGCTCCATGCCAGGTAGTAGAGCCTATTCCCTGGGGTGTGCCAGAATCCCAGCTCCACCACTAACCCTCTGGGTAACCTTGACCATCT